GCGTCCACGCGTGATAGGGTATCAGCCACGATATTCTGTTTACCAGGAACGTACCTAATATCCGTGGTGAATTGTGAAATAAAGTCCAAGTGTCTGAATTGTCGTGGTGTGCACTTATCCGATTTCTGTTGAAATGCGAAAGTGATAGGTTTGTGATCGGTGTATATAACAAACTCGCGTCCTTCCACCATATGCCGAAAATGTTTGACAGCGAGATAGATCGCAAGAAGTTCTCGATCGTAAGCTCCGTATTTTGTCTCAGTCGCCGTGAGTTTCTTGGAAAAGAAGGCGAGGGGTTGCCACTCGTCATTGATGAACTGTTGGAGAGTTGCGCCAACCGCTGTGTTTGAAGCGTCGCTTACAATAGCCAGTCGAGCGTTGTCACATGGGTGCGCGAGAAGCGTGGCTGTGGCGAGTTCCTCCTTGCATTTCTCGAACGCTGAAATTGCTTCTGGTGTCCAATTAATAGGTGCTTTACCTTTTAGATTAGGTACTAAGAGATCACTTAGTGGTGATTGTGCATCTGAAGCTCTAGGTATAAAACGACGATAGAAGTTTAACATACCTAAGAACTGTCGTAGACCCTTAGCTGACGTTGGCCTCTTGTAGCTCAATATGTCAGCGACTCTATCAGGTAGAGGACGTGTTCCTTCTTTAGAAATCATGTAGCCCAAAAACTTTACTTCTGGTTGTCCAAAAACGCATTTTTTAGGATTGAGAACCAGAGAGTATTCGCGTAGTCGCTCAAAAATGATCTGTAAATGTTTGATGTGTTCTTCTTCAGAAACAGATGCCACGAGTATGTCGTCAATGTAACTGAAACAAAAATCAAGTCCACGGAGTACTTCGTCAATAAATCGTTGGAACGATTGTGCTGCGTTTCGAAGTCCAAAAGACATAAAGAGGAATTCGTAAAGTCCAAATGGTGTCACAATTGCAGTTTTAGGGACGTCTTCTTCAGCTACAGGGATTTGATTATACGCTCGAACCAAGTCGATAGTTGAAAAAATCGTTTTACCGTGGAGAAAGTGCGCGAAGTCCTGTATATGACGAACAGGGTACCGATCTGGGATAGTCCGGGCATTTAGAGCGCGGTAATCCCCACAAGGACGCCATGCATCTGTTTTGTTCTTTGGTACTAGATGTAATGGTGATGACCAAGGTCCTTGGGATGGTCGGATAATGCCTAGTTGGATCATAGCTTCAAACTCTTTTTTTGCTGCCTTAAGCTTATCAGGTGCTAAGCGTCGTGGTTTACAAGATACCGGGGGTCCTTGTGTCGTCGGGATAAAGTGTTTAGTGCTGTGTTTGATATCCTTCAGGGTCCCAAACGGTCGAGTGATCTCTGGAAATTCCCGTAGTAAACCGTCGTATTTCGTCTCTCCCACGACGACCTTAATAGATGGTATTGAGCACTTGACGGCGTGACCACGAGTGGTGAGTTGTGTAAGTCCGTCTAATAGACATTGATTGCGCACGTCTACCAAAAGATTGTAAAAACTTAAAAAGTCAACACCAATGATGGGCTTGGATACTTCCGCAATCACAAATCTCCAAGTGAAATCTCGACGAAGTCCGAAGTTTAGGCTGAGCGTGATAGTGCCGTAGGTGTTTATAGGCGTGCCATTGGCGGCTGATAGGACGTAATCGGTTTTTACGCGGTGGCCTGGAACAGCACTACGTGGATAAACACACAAGTCGGCGCCCGTATCGATGAGAAATTGAGTTTGGGAAGTTCGGTCTGTGATGAAAAGACGGCGTGGAAACTGACCGGGCTCACTGGCCGTCATCAGTGATGACCCGTCCCGTTTCCCGATTTATAGTTACAAGGTTCCTTGCATTTTTTCGATTGGGATCCATAACGCCAATGATACCAGCATATTCCGTCTGCGCCATGATGAGTGCGGCTTCGAGATCGTGACCTTGGACGGTAAGTATTTGGTCTTGAGTCCGGAGTACGCGAGGGGCGAGTATTTAACGCAGCCACTTCACTTCTCAACGCTGCAATCTCCTGATTAATATTTAGACTAAGTTGAGAAATCTTAAGATTCAACATGGCTTCAAAAGTGTCACTTCTCGACATTTCTGCTATTTGTGGTAGTAAAGGACCCGATGCGTCTGCGATGTTGTCCGCATGGACAGCGAGATCTTCAAGCTTACTATCTTTCACTATTGCCAACGCTACCTGTATACTTTTCGGTAAACGGCCCATCCAAAGTGTCTTCAATAACGTTTCCGGAACAGAAGAGTCGGCCAGACTTTGGAGATGGCGTAAAAATTGTGATGGTTTACGGTCTCCAATCTCAACGCGTTCTAAAAGTTGGCGTGTTTTCTCCTCTTGGGAGGCACTAAGACGTCTTATCAACTCTTGTTTAATTTTGGCGTACTTACTGTCTGAGGGCGGCGTCATAATTATGTCCTTGACTTCCACTGCGTATTTTGGCGGTAATGCTCCAACTACATACCCGAATTTTGTACTGTCAACAGTGACTCCCGCGCTGGCGAAACTTCCTTCGACCATAGCAAACCAAAGTTCGGGATCTGACGAAATGAAATCCGGTATCTTGACGGCTACTCGAGCAATTGTTTCGTCTGTCTGCGCCATCACGTCGAGGTCACCAATTTGTGGGTTATATCTTACAACACACAATTATTTAAATGGCGGTAGACTTTTATTAAACAAAATTATAACACTAAAATAGACGTATAAACACTAAAAGAAAATATATGTATATACAGTAAGGAAAAATAAAATAATCGAAGTAAACATAATACACGATGACAACAGCGGCGGGGTGTAGCGGTCGTGTAGCGTATCGCGGACTAGACAGTCTGAACTGAACTAACTAAACTGACTGATTCTTCCGATATATATATAGCTCCGATAAGGCTCTCGCTAATTCTAGAATATTCTATACCCGCGTAGGTTATCTTATGGCGTTATCGAAGTTTCTCGAAGGTTTTTGATAACGAGAACATTCGAGAATATTCGTTGCGTATGTTTTGGTCGCTACAAATCTAAATAAGATAAAAATCAAATGAGTTGAACATTTTTTTCTAACTTAAAAAAAATTAAGAAAAAAAATGAAAAAAATGATGACTACAGGCGGGTTTGAACCTTGCACTCCAAGCGCGTAAGTGATACCGACTCGGCAACCGTTCGACGTATGCGTCAGCTGAAAAAAAATGGTAATTTAAGCTAGTTCAAATTTTAAAGTTATTTTCTCGACTTAAAAGAAGCAAAAATATTTAAATAAGTTTAACTTTCTATGCATTGTTAATTATACATATATAATATTTATGAAATTCAATGAACTCCACTTGTCAGGTATTTTAAAATAAAATAAATTACAAAACCCAGAATTTGAATTCAAAAATAGCAAATTTTTGTATACGGTAGTCATTTTCACCATGATGACAAGTCCAGAAGTCAATTTTTTTTTTTAAAAATTTAAACATTTAAATTAAAGTACAAGTATATTACATAAGCATTAATTTAAGANTGATGACAAGTCCAGAAGTCAATTTTTTTTTTTAAAAATTTAAACATTTAAATTAAAGTACAAGTATATTACATAAGCATTAATTTAAGATATATATATAAAAGTGTCAGTTTTTCTGGAACATTTTCAAAAGTTAATTTATTATGCAACAATTTTCATAAAGGGTCAAATTTTCACAAAAATATATCAAATGATAGTGAAATACCTAAGGTATCTATAAAAAAAAATTATATTGATTTGTTCATTTTTAAAAAAATTATGGCAGTTTTAAGTAAAAAAAATGAAAAATATGATTTTTACATTAAATATAATTTTTACATTAATTCGTTAATAAAAATTAATGATTTTTAATATTGTAATTGTTTTGGGGATCCCCCATTTACGGCGAACGAGATAGTTTTTCTCAATTCTTGAGGGTAATGTCTTCGATTAGATACATTTTGTATTGTTCATAAAAATCGGTCCAGTGAGAGATGAGACTGAGTGGTAACAGACAAAAAAAAACGATCATAGTAATATTAATACCTCCTCAGATTTGCGTCGAAGCTAAAAATTATAACACAACCAATCTTGGCCAAATATGTAAAACATGATTTTTAATTCAGAATTGGAGTAAAAACAAGAAATTATGTAAATTAAATCCTAGACTAAATAAATTAGTTAGGAGTCCTAATTTATTATTAATATCTTTATAATCTAGTTAAATTTCTTTTAAGTACTATTTTCCTTAAGTAGGCCCGAGCTATTCGAGTAAATCAATGATAACTAAATATTCACATATGCTTTTCTTAACCCTAATCAATTTATATTAATATGGGTTTTAGTTTTGTGGTGAGGTGTTGGATCAGTAGAGTAAAATTAGGCCATGAAAAAAGTACATCGGTTTAAATTTATAATTGTTTGATTTTTTAACTTATTTCAATCCATTATTGTTTGCATAATTCACATAACAGAGCTATTTGAACGTAAGATTACTTCAGTAAATTATTCAGATGATTTTATATTAAAATAAAGGATCTTTTAACGATAAAAGTGTGTTGGAGAGAATTTTATTTATTTTTTTAAACTAATGACTTTTAAGCTGTTAGAAAAATTTAGTACTCCTTTTATTTGTCGATAATAATAAAAAATTATTGAACACAAATTTTTATAAATATAAAATTAGTTATAAATACAAAAAAATTTTGAAACTATTTATGAATCATCAATCAGTTAAAATTTATCTATAGATAAATCCATTAACATTAAAATTTGTAATTGACTAACTTTTTCACTTATTTTTCCTATAATTGTTTATTAAATAGTTTTTGTATTCACACAACATAGCTATTTAGATATAAAATTATTTAATTTAAGAAAAATTTGTATTATAATATATACATTTATTTAATAAAGTAATGTAACAAAGCAAAATAACATAAAATTATAATTACAATAAGCTTGTAAAACGTAAGAAAATGTTAGGAAGTATACAAGCGTATTAACAAAAATATCAATTTAATGTAAAAATTAGGAACTTTATATAAGCCATTTAAGCAATATCTTTCATGAGAAATTATTGAAATAGTTGCCCGGCTATAATTTCTTCTCTGTGTCTTAATCTTACAGAAGGCATAAGACTCGCATTTATAGGAGTTGTGTCTCCACGAGCCATTTTTTCGGCTAACTCAACCGTAAATGGACCACAGTCATACCCATTAGTTTGACGAGTCGTCTCACCGATTTTTAAAGTCCACAAAGAAGCTGCTCCTTTTTTATCCATCTCCCAGTCAGTTAGATACTCTTTCAATACCATAGGATACGGACCATCATATGACTTAAGACTGTCATATGACGTTACAGTTCTTTCGGGTATGTTTACTACAGTCAATATCCAATGTCCGCCAAGTACATTCATTGGCACAAAAAGAAACTTTAATGTATGGATATCTTTTTTTATCCATCTTCTGACAGCTGGATAACCTCCTCGAAGATATGCTGGTATAAAGTCGGTAACGACAGCATGAACTTCGCCATTGGACCTTTTCACTATCAATTTGAGATAATCATTAATTGTGTCCGAAGTGTACCAAGATTTAGGGGACTTAAACGAAGGCACGTTATACTGATCTAGTTCATTTGTGTTCGGATCATGCGTCACTTCTACAAGAGTTAAAAACTTCTCATAAATTACTTAAGCCAGCTAAATGGTTTAATATGAGTAAAATTATTCCTACATTTTGAAATATAAGATTAAACATAGTTAAACAAAATATGTGTTATGGATGTTTCTATGTGAAATAAATATTAATGAAATCAATAAAATAAAATAATTTTATTTTACCTATTTCTTTCTTTGGTATTTCATCAATTTTGACAACGGACACGGCAGGCAACACGTCATTCATATTTGAAGGCGAAACTTCAGAACTAACTTTAGACTCTAAAAAATTAATGTATAAAAATAGTGCTTAAATGTTACAATAAACTAATGAAAGGTCAAATTTTTAAAATAGAATTATTATCTACTTTTTATGATTTTCTCATCTTTTTCGGATGATTTTCTCTTTAAATTTGGGCTTTCAGAAGATGAGAACTCTTGTAGTTGCTCTTTTGCTCCACATTTTGTGTATTCTAAATGAGTTATTTTTTCTTCTGGAGTTTCTTTTACTTTATCAGTAGATATTTCTGGTAATGTAACGTCATTTGACGTTGTCGCATGCAAAAGTTCAGAACTAATTTTTGCCTCTAAAAGTATTTATGTTTTAAAATATAAGAAAATAATTTCAATAAACATAATATGCAAGTTAATATTTATAAAAAAAATTATTGTGTACTTTTTATGATTTTCTCATCTTTATCGGATGACTTTCTTTTTAAATTTGAACTTTCAGAAGAGGATATCTCTTGGAGTTGCTCTTTTACTTCATATTTTGCGGGTTCTAAATGAATTATTTTCTCTTCTAGTGTTTCTTTTACTTTATCAGTAGACACTTCAGGTATTGTAACGTCATTTGAAGGTTCATTATTAGCTTCTAATTCTTTAAGTATTAAGAGTTTAAAGTATAAAACAATTGTTTCAATAATCGAAATGTAGTTTAAAATTTTTTATGTACTTTTAATGACTTCATCATGTTCTTCGGATAAGTTATTATCTATATTAGGGCCACCATTATCATTGGAGGATACTTCTATGGGTTGCTTTTTTTCATCGCTTTTGTTGCGATGCAAATGATTCTTATGAAAACTCTTAATGAATCATTAGAACATATTAAATTATAGGATAAATTTTAGTTAATTTATTTAAAAAATCTACTATAAGTCAAAAGAAATGTTTAGGCTACATATATATTCTATTAAATATAAAAAAATGCAGAATACAATTTACTTTTCCTAATAAATATGCTGGTATTTTTGGTGCTTTGTCATTTACAATTGGTATATAACTTTTTTTGGCTGGAACTGATAGTTTCTCTCCATATTTTCCAGATTTTTGATTCCTAACAAGTGTTCCTATATCTCCTCGCTGTATCAATTTCTAGGCGTAACCAATGTCAAATTAAAATGAATAATTGTAATATAATTAATATGTTATTATTATCTTCCTTAAAAAGTCTCTTTTCTTTAAAAATCTTATTGTAAATCAAAATGATTAAGATATTAAAATTGAAATTAATTAACATCTTTTACTAATATCTCTAAAAATAATACATTTATACAGCTGCTCTAAATAATAACAAATATTATTACAAATATTATAATTATTTCTACTACTTTGTGAGGGTCGATATATCTATACAATTTCAATTACCACTTTTTCTGCAATAATTTCATCGCTTTCAAGCTGTTTACGATACGTACGTTTTTTTGATTTATCTGTATTTGTATCAGTGGTTATATTTACACTAGAATTTGCTGTAAAGAGAATATTATTTTAAAAGTTATTAATTAAATAGTTAATTTTGAAAATGTTTACGGTGAAAAAATGCATTAGCGTAGATATTATATGTAATCTAATGTTTATAATTTACTGAATATTGAATACTATTAAAAAATTTTTTAACTACAATAAAAAAATAATTATTATTTATCAAAAAGAGAATAATATTTTTAATCTGTTGTTATATTTTATATAAAATCGTTTTCCCATTTCTTGATAATTAGTTTAATTAATCTTAATAGTGTCTACAGTTATTAATTTCACCTTTAGACTGTCTTGATGTTTGGGGATCTTCTGGACTATCAACGACTAAATTGGAACTCATGAAACGACGATTCCATAATTCTTCAATTCTGCGTTTCACAACATTCATATTTGTTTCATAAATATGACTATCCGTATTGTTTTCGCTTGCCATATTAATAATTAGTTAAATAACTCTGAATACTTGCACAAGATGATAGCTTATTATAACGAGCAAACACGAAGTGATCCCAATGTCAACATAGACAACGGTTATATATGATAAAATCATAATTGTCATGGAGAGTTAATTCGTTGAATTCTTTTATTATAAGCCACTTAAATATTTGAAAATTAAAAATAATTGTAAATCATATAACATATTGTTCATCAAAATCGGTCCAGCGAGATCTGAGATTGAATGGTAACAGACAAAAATATTAAATTAAACACATTATAGTTAATATAATAATTCACATCGAAGTTAAAACTATTAATTTTTTATTAACTCATAATAAATGTAGGAATAGTAAACAATAAAATAGTATGGTAGTTATCATTGTACAAATCATTAAAAATATTTATTTTTTAAGACTCTGGTTGGGTTTTAGTTTTGAATTTTATTAAATTTGAATCATTTCTATCATTAGCTGCATTTTGATTTCTTAACTTTGCTACTTAAGTATGACATTTTGTCATATTAAAACTGATATTTTTTATTGTATATTAAAAAAATGATTACATTTGAATTTACCATTAGAAAAAAAAATCTATTTTTAAACTAAAGTTTTAAGTATATTGAAATTTTATACAAGTTTGGATCAAAGATAAAAAAGACACAATAGTTTTTGTTGTCCTACTCTCACAGGCAAATTGTACTTTTCATTAAAATCTTGTATTGAAATGAATTTGTAGAAATGTTAATAAGGAAGACTGTGCACCTAAGTTTTCCGTACCAAAACAAAAAAAAATGTCAAGATTTTAGGATTACAAAATTCCATTAATTCTGACTAAAATAGTTTAGTATTAATTATTATCTAGTGAATGTAAAATATCATTATGCCAGTTTTATTTAAAATTTTTCTATTATTTAGGCATCGAGTCTAAAAAAATTTTACAATTTATAAGAAATAATTGACAAATTATTGAAATTAAGACATTCATGTAGCTAAATTGCATAGCTGACACGCCGTTTCATATCGCGATAATAAACAATTGGTTTAATTAAATGGGTATTAAACAGTTTATTTACAAACATTTTAATTAATTCACTTTTAAATAGTATGGATATTAATCTTTAAATGAATTCAGAGTTTTATAAGTTTTTTATTTACAACTACCATTTTTGAAGTGATCTTAACAATTTAGATGATTTTAATTTTCGATTTTAATTTTTAATTGTTTGTTTTTAACTTATGTAATTACGTATTAAGTAATAAGTAATACTATAATATATAACTCTATTGTAATACTTAAGTTTATACTATATCACATAAATTTAATAATTCTCATGATGACAGCATTTCGATCCGTTATTGGAATGAGACATAGTTCAAAACCTGTAAATGGAGCTAACGACATTAATTATCATGAGTCTGATGATGAAATTCAACTAATATTTTATAATCAATATAATATTTCAGTTTTGTTTATTTATTCAAGATAAACAAAACCTAATACTATATTATTACAATTAGTAGTTTATAATTAATTTTATATCACAAAAAAACTTTATAGGTAACCCAACCCAACTCTTTGATGTAATCATTAATAAAAATTTTACTTANTTAATTCAAATTTTACTTCTACATTTATAAATAGTTGGTTGAGAAATTAAGATTTTATGGTAGTAAATATGTTTAATATTTATTGGTAGATCATAATTCTATAATACTCATCTTTAATTTCATAAGTTAATTTTTAAGAAAATTGAAATATGAGTCATCTAATTAATAAAAGTTGTTCGGTCATCTTTTTAATACCCAATTTTTAATTTTATAACTTTTGTAATAAGTTCAAAAATAGCTAAACTAAAATATTTTAAGAAATAAAATGAGTTGATTTATATAAGATTATAAGACTTGAATAATTTAGGCTATTATCAAATGTTTCAATATTTGAGGTTGCAATTAAATTTATAAAATAACTTGCACATATAGGTAAAGAAATACTATTTAACTCATCATTATTTTATTTTCAAACTAACACCCCACCATATTGGGAAGGCTAGAAACTACCTTGCCACTGTGTAAAAGCTTTAACTAACTATGTATTATTTAGTCATTACTGCGCATGTTAATTACCTCATTTATACCACACTTTTATACCAACACTCAATATAACTAAATGACATAAGTTATAACTAATAATTATTAAATAAAATTTAAAACTAACTTTAGGTTAGGTATAAAGTAATAATGTTATTTTTATTTGTTACATTCATAATGATATTCAATTAAAAAAATTACTAGAATTATTTAATTAATTTTAAGTAGATTATCAAATAATTATTACCTATTTTAGTTTTTAAATTTATAGTTACAGTAAATTTATTTAATTTTAGTTTTCAATGACTGCTTTCATTTCCACAATAGGATATTATTTTAAATTCTAATCCAATAAAAAAGTAATTCACACCTGAATTAAGTTTTATTTTTATCATAACATACATAAATAAAAGTAGGAGGAAATAAATATTGTAAAAGCATAGAACTCTACATAATTTTTCTGCGCTTTTCTAGTAGTAAAGTAAATGTATTTATTACATTATTAAAGTTAATTTTTTGTCCTATATTGTGCTCAATTCTCAATATATCCAAATTTAATACATTCTTGCTCAAAGTCATTTTTGCCTCCAAACTGTTCACACAATTGTTTGCTCTACATTTTATTTTTAAAAAATGTTCCTCATTTCTGAAAGATGAAATATCTAAAAAACACGTTGAAACCATATCATGTGCAGTTATTAAATCAATTTTAG